GGAAGATTAAATATATTGATTATCATATCGAATACCATTATCTTTAAAATCTCTTCCGATTTTTTCTCTCTCGTTCTTCTGTGAAAAAATTCCTAAATCTGAAAATTAACGAGAGATGTTAAAATTATGGATAAATTTTTCGTAATAAACCGGTTTTGGCCGATAAAATGTTGGTAATTAACCGGTTTAAGGCTCTTTCATATATATAGTTATGTGACAAAGAAAAAAAGTTGTGGGAACTTGGTTTAACAAAGAGTGCATATAATTTGAGAACTAAGCTCTTAAAGTATACACGCGGGTTTTCGTTTTTAATAATTTCATAATTTCTTAAATTTTTTTTTTCTTTTGAAAGATTCAGTTGCTTTTAATCTGCATTCCTCTGATCACACATTCACTAATTCTCTGTGAACAACAAACATTAATGTCATTAACAAAACCATCTCTTCTGATATTCTTCAAATAAATCTTCATCAATGATTTTAAATGTTAAGTTGCCCAATTTTAGAACCATCTAATGATCTTTATAATTATAATTCCTTTTTTCTGGGATAAGCTATTGCAATCAGAGGATCGATTAAGCATTTCACCCTTCACTAACCACAGTTTCTTTGTCTGAAGATTATTTGTTTGAAGACAACATCACAACATCTATGCTAATTGCTAAACCAATTAACATTTTTAAAAATATATATATGTTCAATTATATTTAAAGGAAAATAAGCGTTTTTACAATTTTATCTAATTAACGTTTTCCAACCAAATGCTCGTATTTTATTTGGGGAAAATGTAAAAAATGGTTTGATCTTATGAAAGTATAACAGCACAATCTTTGAAACCCATTGGTCAAACAATCTGCATGGTTGGTGACACTAAAATGTTTTCCAAACTCCCTCAAATCTCAATAGTGATTGTCCTTGTAAATTTACATTACTCGACTACCTATGCAAATTATTTATTTGAAATTGTCCATATCCACCTTTGGAATACAAATTAGTCATTGAAAATTGTCCAAAGCCAAATACATGTATAGGCATTACAGCATTAAAGTTCTCAATGGAAACACTATCACAAAGGCCATCAACCTTTGTAGGAGTCGAAGAGGTTTCAGACCTTGGTAAATTGAACCTTATAACCAGGGCCGTCCCTGAGATAAATGAGGCCACAAGCGAAACAAAAAACGGGGGCCCCTACTTCGTATGTTAAAACCATAATCAAACGTATCCGATTTCATACATAAACAAAAGAGTAGTTGTATACACATAAAAAAATTTTAAATGGGAGCCCCAAAAAATTGGGGGCCCAAATCTAATGCTTTATCCCGCTTGATTCAGGAACGGCCCTGCTTATAACACAATATTGTTTGGGTTACAATGCATGATCTTGGCCTATAACATAAAACATACAAAAAGGTGACAATTCTACGCTAATCATAACTCATTAGGAAACATAATAAAAAGTCTATGTTGGTTGATCAGCAAAGAAACACACGACATATGATTATGAACAAATATAAGATTTATGTATCTTTTAGAAAAAATAAGATTTATGTATCAGTTTGAAAACGCCTTCGACCCTAACTAATCTACGAACTTTGTGAATGAAACGAAGACAACTGGAACAAATAACCGGATAAAAAAAAATATATACAAAACATAAAGTCAGAGTGAGGCGCTTCACCATGTGAATCTTCCTCACCATGAGAAGTGCTTGTAGTCTTGATTTCATTTGCAAGAGAGAAATAAAGTTAAAAATAGTTATCGAAAATTAAAGAGTTTACAGTTTGGCTGAAGGACGGAGGTTAGTGTGTACGCACCGGATCAACTTGAACTTATTGTTTCTCCTCGTCTTCGTTCTCAACATTCATGAGATATGTTATTCCGCCACTCGCAAAACCTGCAAAAAAAAAAATTGAACATTTGAAGGAAAGATCAAACAGAATAAATGGTTCATCATCGTCTTAAACTTAAAATAAATCAACACTTTTGTGAATACAAAAGGAAGTACTCGATGAAAAGATTGGAAGATACATGAAACTATGGAAGTATAATGGTCAAAACTTTGGAAAATAAAAGTCAAAATGGCTGACCGATTAATGGAAGAGAAGACCATACATTTTATGATTTTATTAACTTTATATATATTTTTTTGTTTAAAACAATCAAGTGCCTTACGTGTCAAATTAAGAAGTGTTCCTCAATACTGAGATGTCACATATTTGTGAGTGAAACTCAAC